CCCCAGCTGCCAGCACCGGCTTCCCTCTGGCATGCAGGACCCAGGCTTCCCTCCGAAGGACATCTGGTCTAATTAGCATATTACACTTTTATTATTATAGGTGGTCAACGATCAGCGGCAGCTTATCAGAGTCTGCGTGTGATTTTCTCAATTCTATTCCCATCCCTTTTACTCTGCAGCCCTAGGCTCTGGGGGCCATTCACAGGCCCACTGTGTGTCCATCTGTCTGTTGTCCTAACTCCTGAAAACCAAATGCAGGTCCTGACAGCTGACTGTGTCAGGACCTCTGGGCGCTCTGTCACTGGGAGTGAGAGTGAGAGTGAGAGTGAGGGTGAGGGTGAGAGTGAGGGTGAGGGTGAGAGTGAGAATGATCAGGAGGAACGGCTGGTGCCCAATAGGCCTACACCACCCACATCGGCCCACATGGAGGGCACAGGTGGGCGGGCGTCCACAACCTTTCGGCAGAGCCTGGGGCTCTTTGCAACTCCACCTCTAACATCTTTTCCCAAAATGAGCCGCCTTCTGTCTGGCTGTCCCATGCCGAGCATGAAGTGAACCCCATATTTCTATGGAAACCCAGCAGCCTGCACGTAAATGCAGCTCTTTCAACCCTGAACCCACGGAAACCCTTTTTCATACATCCTCCCTCCCTTAAAGAGCAAGTGGCCACCAGCGTTCTGGAAGCCCATTACCTGTCCTCACTTTCAGGTGTGCCCTGGCACTTTCTTCCCCACATGCTTTGGCCACTATCTCAACCAGGTGCAAGACACCGGGCTCCAGGCCCCACAGCTGCAGGCTCGTGTTCCGCATCTCCAGGTGCACGGCGGGGCTCTGCGTGGACATCAGGGTGAGCTGGAAAGTGGGGCGCGGGGCGAGATCTGTCACCCACGCCACGTGGAAGCCGGTGCTGGTCACATTGGAGACCGTGACCCTTCCGATGGGGGCAGGAACTGGGAAGTGGATATAAACGCTGAGATTAAAAACAAACGTTCCAAGGAGAGAAGAAAGGAGAAGCCTCGCCCCCAGTGCTAAAATCAACTGCACACTTCGCTCGGGACGTCCTCAGGGGACGCCGGCCCAGGGAAGCCCTGTGAGCCCTTGCTACAAGCAGACCCCAGGGGTGCAGGTCCCCGGACAGCACCCCTGCCCCTTCGGTTTGGTGTCTGCCTCTGAGGTCCCCGGACTTCCCAAAACGAAGGCCTCTGGAACAGGTTGTGAGCGGATCCTCCAGAAGGTTCATGCCCCTCACCCCCTGGGCAGCCTTTCCGAGGAGTCAGCACAGTGGCCACTGCTGGCTGCAGAATCGTTTATTACGGGGGCCCTGGGGCACGCGACAGCACTGGGCTACGCGGGTTTAACAATTCAGTCTTGGAAGCTGCCGGCTCAGCAGAGGAACTGCATCGAACAGCTACTTCCACTTGGATGCCGTCCAGAGCCGGGCCAGCCGAGTGAGCACACAGAGGTGGCAGCATGGCCACCCTGAGGGATGCGGCACGGCCAGGCCGTCTCCTGCCAGAGCTGTCTCCTGGCTCCTGAGCTGTCACCCGTGGGCCTTGGCGAGGCTAACCCCTCTACGTGGAATGCATAATGTGGAGCTGCTGGGGTCAGTGAGGTGGGGAGGGGCAGAAATGTGGGGGGCCCAACACAGCTGGGGGGGGTGCCCCACAGTCTCCTCCAGATGCCTGAATCCCTGCCCCAGATGTTGGCAAATGGGAGGCTTCGGAGGAGGGAGGAAGGGGTAGAGAGAACACGGAGACCGAGGTCTCGTCCTAACTAGACCCGAAGCCAGCCGCCCAGGGACAGGGCCGCTCTGCACGCAGCTTGCCAAGCCTTAAAACGAGAGATCCACCTGAGTGTTGCTAAAAGGTCTCTGAGCCGACAGCTGTCCGAGCCTGTGCCACCAGAACGCGCGCTGACCACATGATCCCAGTGCCCCTGGGACGCACCATCCCAGGCACTCACCACAGGCCGGGGTCTTCAGGGACGTGGGGTTGGAGGCCAAGGGCAGGTCTGGGGAGCCGGAGTGTCCAGGGTCTGTGTTCTGAGGCCATGTAGGGTCCAGAGGTGCAGGCGCTGTGCCCCGCGTGGGGAGGCTGGTGTGCCACACGTGGCCAGGAGGGCCCTCAGCGGGGCTGGGCCGGGCGTGCGACTCTGCAGTGGAGTTTCTCAGCAACCATCCAGAGGCCTCCACCGGGCCGCCCGTGGGCCCGGGGAGGGAGCTGCGGGTTGGCCTGGGATCCCTGCTGGCTGTCCACTGGCTCATCCCCAGACCTGGGGCCTCGCCGGTTGCCGCCTCCTCCACGCCTTGCCCCGTGCTGTTCCTGTCCTGCCCGACCATGCCACTGTCCCCTCTCCTGGGCGGAGGCCCTGGGGTCTGGGCCTGGCCTGCTGCAGGGGTGCCCCACAAGTGCCCAGGACTGGGGGACAAGGCAGGGGTCTCCAGGCCAAGGGCTGTTGTTTCTGAGCTGACAGCTGGGGCTGTTGCCCTTGTCGCCAGGGACAGCGCACCTTCCAGGGGGTTCGCCATGTCACCTGCTGGGACACAGGAACTCTCAGATGGGGTGTCGGGCCCACCAACATCTCAGCAAAGTCCTAGATGCCACTGATGAGCGAGAGACCTTCAGGTGGACCCCAAGTGGGGCCACAGGCTGTCTCGGTGACCAGGAATGTTTAATGTGGCGTCACCCAAGTGACCCTCATGGAGGGCCAGGAGGAGCCTTTCCACTTCATACATGAGAATGCTGGGGCACCAAGAGCAGGTGTTGGGGGCCCAACACAGCTGGGGGATGTGCCCCACAGGCCTGGCCGGGGGGCAGAGGGACGGGGGGGTACCGAGCCAGGACCTAGATGCAGGGTTTGGTTCCTGCAAGTTCACACGAATCTATCCGCCTTTGGGAAATGGGGTGATTTCCCCAGATGTGTGCTCAGGGGGCGGGCTTGGCGCTGGCACCGGTGCCCACCTACTGGATACATGACTGAGAAGACGGAGAAGGGAAGCTCTGCCATGGGGGGGGGGGGGGGGGGGGGGCGGGGGGCGCGGGGGCGGGG